GTACCAGCTAAAAGCTAAAATGAGCAGAAAGATAGCTAGGAGCTAAAATGAGCAGAAAGATAGCTAGGAGCTAAAAGGAGCAGAATGATAGCTAGGAGCTAAAAGGAGCAGAATGATAGGAGCTAAAAGAGCAGAATGATAGCTATGAGCTAAAAGGAGCAGAATGATAGCTAGGAGCTAAAAGGAGCTGAATGATAGCTAGGAGCTAAAAGGAACAGAATGATAGCTAGGAGCTAYAAGGAGCTGAATGATAGCTAGGAGATAAAAGGACATGCAGCTTTTAATTCTTCGATCTTAAGGTCAGAATGTGTTTCTGACAGAGTTCTGCTCRTTATTTCTGTTCTCCTGACATCTCCTAACAGCTAAAGAACCAAAGTACAGAGAACTGTTTGACAGAACAGCACTTTCAGAYTCACCAGACTATCCCTTTAAAGTGTTTCTTCTCTCAGATCTGACGTGTTACAAACAGCTAACAGGCTCAGCTGGTGATCCAGACTGTTCCCTGTTTGTACTTTGAGTCACAATAAATGTCCAGAGTTGTTTATTGTTTTTATTCGTCCCCGGAGACGAGGAGATCAGAGCTGCTGCGAGTCGCATTCAGCTGCTAATCCATACTTTCTTCACCCACTCATAAAACCTGAAAGAAAACGGGCTGAAAGATTCAGTTTTTGAACACAACCTTTTTATTCTTTTCTTTTCTGGCCCCCTTGTGTCATATTGTTTTTCTGCGGTGTGTGTGTCTCTAACCAGCTCTGACAGAAATCAGATACTTTATTCTGTTTTTTCTCGTTAAACAGGAGAAGCTGCACCTAAAGAAGGTAAGTCCTTAAATGTTTTATGAGCCGTTATGCCTTCATCCATCTTTAACGACTTTAATATTAAAAAAGAAAAACTGCTGAGATGAAATATTTGATGTAACAGATTCATGATGCTTTATATGATGTGATGGATTTCAATGAAACTCAGAAATGGATCCAGTTTAAGATGGTGATTCACTTTAGCAAACACAAAATGTCTCTAACTCAGTCATTTTTAAAGAAATTGAATGTAAATTTAGTGTGGTAGTAGCTGAGAGTCATCCCTATCGTAAAAATTAAACAGATTATGTATTTTTTCTGTAGCAACTCCTTCAATAAGTGCTTTTTATTCCTCGTTATTGTGCAGTCCTAATTCAAAACTTGACAAACTCCCATTTTTTATGCATCACAAGTAAAGCACCGACTTAAATCCATGAAAAGTCTCTTTAAACAGTCTCCACCTGCACATTACAGTAAATTATGTTATTCTTTTTATTGCCTCTCAATCATCTCAGCCTCATTAGTGTTCCCGGGTCCATCAGTAATCACTGTTTTGTTTGGCGGCTCCGGAGCTGCCTGCTGAGTTAGGATGAGATAAATTGACTCCAAACGAGAGATCCATTTGTGAAAATGGTGAAATCCACTCAGGCAACATCTGCTGTTTACATACAGGAACGACTCTCAGGTTTTCTGTTACCACTTAAATGAAAAAGGTCCAGTTCTACATTTTATATCCTGAGTTTCATAATTTAACTTATTTCTCATCAAGTCGCTGATAATATTAAGTTTGATAGTTAATTATATAAGATACTAATTTTTATTTTATTTTCAGAGCCTTCTGTTTCCACGACTGAAAGTACAACTTTTTTTTTACTTTAAATTATCATTAATGAAGATTATGCTAAATATATGCTGAAGATTTAAGAACCAGTGACCTAAAATGCTTAAAAATCTAAACAAGTAAGTAGAATTAAAGAAAAATGAGGGGAACAATTAAATAAATGGTAAATAACATTATTTTTAAAAGTAGAAACAATGGGCCTCATGCAGGAACATGTTCGTATTCTTATCCTAAATTTC